AAGACCAAGCCTTGCTACTTGAATAACAGGTAATCAGACTTTAGCCTTTCCGTAGTCCCATAATTTTCATTCAGGGGATAACCATGAGGAAGAAGCCAAAGGCATACCCAGAAAAAGGAAGCATGCTATAATTAGGGTATCACCTATCGATGGGAAGTCAGCCAACCCCTCTCCTTTTATAATGTCGAGCTACTTCATACCTTGTTCTATCAACAACACGCTACTTCGTTCCTCTCCTTATCAGTCGAGTATCTCCGCTACTGACTCTAACAAGTATGCTTCTAAACTCCAAGCTCTAAAGAACCTGCAATTAAACATACTTGTCCCTTATTCTATCAAACAAGCTTAAATCCCTCTCCTTATAGAAATGAAACTACGTTCCTTTAGCGGTTAAGTAGGATTTATTCATAATAGAAGGGATAGGTTTTAGTCCTGGTTCAAGGCGTGAAGAGAGAGGCTGTCCCAAAAAAGGACAGGTACAAGACGAAGTGGCAGAAAGATAGAAGTATTGCACCCTTCAATGCCTTTTCATGCTGATTGGGTAGAAGAAGTAAGATAGAAGGACTAGTCCCTTAGGGAATGATCTTATCTGGCTTTAGACTCCTTTCAACGACACAAGGGACATCAGGACGCTAAATTTATTGCGAGCAAAAATAAATATTATATTTTCCCTCTTTTCTATAGGGGAATGACCGTCACAAGTTAAATGAAAGGAATTCCGCTTTCACTTTGCAATCTGGGAACTACATTCATAAGCAGTTGAAGTGACTATAGCAGGAATTAATTCAAAAAATTGAAATAGGCTCCTCCCTGAATATGCCTTAGGAAAGTCAAATGAGGGGTTCAAAGTGAAGAATTGGAGCACTATTATATTCCCCCTCTTCTTACTGAGGAAGAACATATTTAAGGAAGCCGACTCTCGTTCTTTATCTACGGGAATATGAAAAGTAGGCATGTCGCGCTTCGAAGGAAGGTAGTTCCCTGGGGTCTGTCTATCTTACTATATATACGATGCACCTAGGTTTCCAGACGTTTAGACTTCAGTCTGATAAGGCAAGAAGCATTTTCTCTAAAAGTGATCACCTTTTTGTTGTCCCACCAGATTTATAGTGGAAATATTGGAGGCGACATGGGGTTCATTGAGGATTTTGAGTAAGGCATTCCTGTGAGCTTCTGATGCTATCAGGAGACCTAAGATAGACTGGCATCTTATTGAGTTGTTCAACCACACTGAATTCACTGTTCTTGATGATCCTCAAGAATTCCGTTATTTATTTCTTCCTCTGCTGCTTGACAGGTTAAATATCTCCCATTTTATCCTTTCTTTTCTTCTTTCTTAGTTCCAACTCTTCTGGAGTATAACATCTTCCAGAACGAGTCATTCTTCCAATTTCTGCCACCTACCTCGGGCTCTTTTCCCCTTGTTCGGTAGTAGCCTCGATGCCGTAATTCCAAGGCACAACATGATTTCCCGTGTTAGGTTAGGTTCCAGGAGGCTTATAGTGATGGGTCCCTTCGAGGATGGATAGGTGATAACCATCGGTTTTGGGATGGGTCTTAGTGTCAGGATTTTTGCAACCTTTGGTGCGAAAAATGATGCACTTGGAATGGTGATAAGAAGGGGTTGCGGTTGTGATGAAACTGGTACTAGGTAGGTGGATCGAGGGGCTTGGTAGGACATAGGCCAAACTGGTATAAAAGCCTATTGATAGGGATCACCCTTCTTCGCCTGAGTCCTATATTCATTCAACAGAAGCAATAATAAAGAAAGCAAACGAAAGAGGAGACTGGAGGAGCTGGATGCAGCGATTCGGAAGTAGCGAATCGTCTTCTTTGCAGTTTTTCAGGGGAGTGGCTATCAAGCCAAAAATTCCTTTATTTGGCTATTCAGATAATTTGGTATAGAAAGTTTACTTCTTTCTTCATTCAAGTAAGATAGTTAATCGAGAAAGGTCCTCTTCCACTGAGAAACTGAGGAGCGAAAGCGATGTGCTTCGATGAAAGCCTTGCGGGTCTAACGCGGCCCTTTACTCAATGAATAGGAAATATGACCACACACAATAAGAATCCCCGCGATCTGGGGCATGAAGCAGTTGGCTCTCAATGGGAATTCTCCATAGCATGACTAGTTAAAGCAATCAAATTGATTGAGACAAGCAAGCCTCAAGCTAGGGTTGGGTTCCCCATGATGAATCAATTGATTTAATGTAGGCATCGCTCTTTCCTTTGTCCTTCCTCCCTATTTTTGCATACTAATACACATAGCTTATTAGATCGAGCAAATTCAGCAGCTCCTCGCATCCCCAACTATGAGTGCCACATAACAGCACATCATAGTAGGCATCCGTCAGAAAGCCGTGTTGAATAGCTTAATCACCAAACATTGTCCGAACAAGGTTAGGCATGGTCCATTCCGGGGGTAATACCTTCCCGGCTTCATGCGTACACCTGTTGTATTCATTACATATTTTATTAAATAAGAGGTCAAAGTCAAGTGCAGCACTTTGCGCATCCGACTCGAAGAACTAGTGGAATAAGCTGAAGAAGGGAAGGATTATGAGTCTCCATGATAAAATCTATATCGCTAAGTGTTGGATTACCAAAAAGTACGAGTTGATTTTCCATTCTTAGATTTATTTGATTATTGCTCTGGCACTCCTTGCTGGCGGAGCGACATACCGAAAAAAAGAGTGTTTGGAACACCCGAAAGCCCTTTATCGGATTCGAACCGATAACTTAAGCCTCTTTATTAAGGGCGGGAGCTTTACTCTTATTTTGGGCGTGCTTTGTTTATTTAAGTAATTTTTGCGGTTCACTTAACATTTTCTATATATCTTTGTCTTCATTATCAGCTGCATGTTGTCGGCGTTATATCCACTCCACACTGACAAAGCTAGATTCCCGTGAGATCACCATCGGCTTGTTGAAATCGAGAAAGGTCACTCCGTCAAGCTTTTTTCTTATATACGATACCTTTTGCCATGACCCTTTCTTTCTAGTATATCTACGTCATTCTTTTGAAGTGAAGTAGATGGACGCAACAAGTTCACTAAAAGAGCAGTTAGGCCTTTCCATAAGCCTTTACTCAAGCACTTGAGGAAGAAAGCTAAAGCTGACAGACGTAATAAAATTGAAGCAGGTGCGCTAACCGCCACTTCTTAGTTTCATACTCTCAAAGATGGAGTGAAGCTTGCATTCAAAGCTCTTTCTTTTTCTTTCCATCGACCATCCCCTTCTCCTAACATGGCGAATAAACAGATTAGTAAATCTGCTTTCTTACTTCTACTACGATAATACGAATAGTAAGAATGAAAGTCTCATCCGATTTCTTTCTTTTCTATACTATATTAATGAATGAGATTCCATGGGGTTGTAGGAAATCGATTTCCGGGTCGTGTTCGTGAACCTATAAAGAACTTTTTTTATTGTCCTCGGAAATTACTGAAAGACTGGCCCCTCATAGAAAAAGGGTCTCTGCTTAAAGGAAATAAGTCTTTGGGCGGGCGTACTTTTTGACGAGGCTCTTCAAGACCTTCTTTATATTCTATAGAAGTGCCAGTAACCAATAATATAAAATCTTACTATTAAAATAGAGGGTAGTCTAGCGTGTAGTTTCAAAGAATGAAATTAATAGAATCAGCGATTTATGCCTTACTCAACCACCTCTTTAAGGTCTTCAGTAGTTAGGGGGCACGGAGCCACTGTTATCTCCTCTTAGGGAGTCTGGTACCCACTCCTCTTCTCTTATTGGCTGGGGATGTACACAGCAGTCAAAGCAACGTATAATAAGCGTCGATCGCGATACGCCTTTGATCACCCGGATAGATTGAGTCAAGTAATGGCATCCACTGCCTTAACTGGCATGACATCAATGAAAACTACCACTCCACTTTTAAAAGGAAGGCTTGCCTTACGGGCACTTGTTTGCTTTCTTGAAATGAGCTAGCTTAACTCTGATTGGGAAAAGGCAAGAGGCACTGACTCTCAAGCCTCAGAGAAAGCTGAATAAATCCTATAGATTATTAGGGCAGCGGCAAGGAAACTAACCTGCACCCTATTTGTTTGAGACTCGGGATGGAAATGACCTCCTGTCTTTGCTTGTGTTGTGTTGTATGACGTCCACGTCGTCTTTGACTCTTATTCCAACACTAGTCCCTTCGTGGTGCCCACGGTGCGGTTTGTAGGTTAGTAAATCAAGGAAATCCTACTGGCGGTAGCGGTTGTACCTTTGACCTATGTCTAGTCGCTTCTTTGATAATCGCATTAATTATTGGTTCACATTATCTCCTTGGGCAGGAAGTCTCAAAGCTCTTTCCTAAAGAAGTGCATAAATGACGGAAGAAAAGGAATGAATCAAGACGGTTCATCCATGGAGGGAAGCAAAGTCCATACCAGCTCCTGCTGTTGAGGTGCTCCTTTAATGGATAAAATATTCCTCTCAGGAGGGCGATATACGTATTAATAGCAGATAGAGAAGAACAAAAATCAACACTTTCATTTGACCTGGAGGAATACAAGGGGTATTGGTCCAACAACGGAAGTTAGAATTTGACCCCACCCAATAGGCCCAAAGCCTCCCAGATAGGCAGTTTGCTCCCCAGTGTAGGGGTGAACCTGTCAAGAACAATAGTTTGTAACGCGCTTAAGGTAAGGTCGGCTGTTAGCAGTCGATTCGGTAATAGGAAAAGCAAGACCTTTATGAGCAGCTTTCGCTCTCATAGAAAAGAAAGAAGCAAAGAAAAATTCACTTTCAAGTTTCAACTTCGAAGATCGGTTTGGTCCTCAAGGAAGAAAAGGCCAAGGCCTATTTTCCATATCATTAGTTAGGACGGACCTATGGCTTATGCCGTACTGGTTTCACCCGTGAGGTCTCTCTTTTCTCATCTCAGCCTCCTTATTACTCTGTTTCGGGGCTACAACCACAGCACAAATCCGAGCGATGAAGCTTTTCGATAAAAGGCCCTAGAGAGCAATCAACTCACTGATAGGCGCATATAGAGATGGCTCCGTGGAATTTGAGAATGAACGTGACCCCCCAGGCCAATCTTTGTCTAATATCCGACCGACATCCATCAATAAAGAGTGCTTACGATGATCCTGAAAATGGGTGGCAGTTTCCTCCATCTTCACATGTTTACTGTTTCAGACACATTGCACAAAACTTCATGCGTGTGCTCAGAAATAAAGAACTACGGAAAAAAGTTGTCAACATGGGTATGTCTACATCTTCACGAGTTGATGTTTCAATTTTTATTTTTTGACTTAATGATTTTCATATGTTTTACTGATCATTTTGTTTAAATATTTTCATCTACAGGATATGCACTAACAGAGGCAACATTTAACTACTACAGGGGAGAACTACGAAGAACAGATAGAGCAGCTTTGGAGTGGATAGACAATATTCCCAGAGAGAAGTGGTCGAGGGTGTTCGACGGAGGATAGCGGTGGGGACACATGACAACAAATTTGGCCGAATCTATGAACTTGGTACTTAAGCCTACCCGAAACCTTCCTATTACAGCATTGGTCAAGTCAACGTACTATCGTCTGGGATCGCTGTTTGGAAAACGAGGACACGATTGGACAAAACTATTGGCATCCGGTCAAACTTTCACGCAAAACTGTAACAAGGGAATGGCCGATGAAGCGATTAAATCTAGCAGCCATAATGTCATTCAATTTGATCGCGAGAGATTCTGTTTTATGGTTGCCGAAAGCATTAATCAACGTGATGGTCGACCATTAGGTACTTTTAGCGTTGATCTCAGGAGAGGGTGGTGCGATTGTGGGAGGTTTCAGGCATTTCAATTACCTTGCTCCCATGTAATCGCAGCATGTGCCAGTATACGACAGGACCATAACATGCGCATACCAGATGTTTTCAAGGTTCTGAGTGTATTCAAAGTATACAGCGAAAGCTTCCTTGGACTTCCACACCAGCAAAATTGGACAACATATGAAGGATTCACTCTTTGCCATGACGAGACAATGCGAAGGAATAAGAAAGGGCATCCAAATAGTACAAGAATTACAACTAAAATGAGCGATTCTGAGAAAGAAAAGAGAAGATGTGGTATTTGTCGAGAAATTGGTCATATGCGGAGAAAATGTCCGAACGTGGCAGACCCGTCAAATCGGCCCGTCTAATTTTTTTTTTTTCAAATTATTTCTTAAATTGCAATGTGTAATATATAAGTTATGAATATGTTAAATTATGTAGTCAATTTTTAATATTTAAATGACTTTCAAATTATTTTATATAATTTTATTAGTTAAATAATTAATTAGATAACGTGAAAAATATTTAATAATATTAAAAAATTATTTAAATTATTTATTTATTAATATTTTAAATCATATAAAAGAATTTAATATATAAAAAACAATTTAAAACATAAAATAATAATATATATAATATATTTATTTCTGAAATAAAAAAAAAAATACACGTAGTATAGGGTCGGCCAATGGATGGCCGAACCCCAACTACCATTTTCAGTGCTTCATTGGGTCGTCCTTCCAATGGACGAACCCTTAGTATATATGTGGCATTTTTGCAATTTTTTTTCAATGTGTGGCAATATGGTGTTTTTATTTTCAATGTGTGGCATTTCTGTAAAAAAATCGCAAATTTCAACACAAACCATGGTACACCTTCAGCAACATGATTCACGCACGAAATTCACAATCATGACCCCACAATTCCATATCACACAAAGCCAAAACTCCACCAAATTTGTCCTACATAACCTTCACAATAGTCATTTGATACCATAAACCAAAGCAGCACACAATTCTCAAACACACGATCCAACGCGCTGCGGTCCTCACCGTCACAATGAAACTAACCAAGAAAACATGATCTGAAGCAAAGTTCACAAAGAAAAAATGTTACGCAAACCACGCACCTGCAAATGACACAAAAACGGATTGTAAATACAAAATGGAATGAGGAATTTGCAAAAACCAAATATTCACTCCAAAACCAATCGGTCCCCACTCATTATTTCCGTCCTACAAAACAAATACACAAACCAACCGACCCGTAAAACGTTACCTACGCATACACGAGCCATACACATAGTGCACAACATGCGTCAAACAAAACACACAACAAAGTCACTACAAAACGACCCCACATGTCACAATCTTTCCACACAACATTTCTTCCCTAAATGCCCTCAATTTACCCTATAAATCCAATTTATTTCTCCCTCATTAGGGAAGCTTAAAAAGCCAACATAACTCTGCAAAATCTCTCCCTCAACCTCAAGTCAATCTCGAATCTGAAACGAAATTCTTTCCCTTCAACCACCATCTTCAACCTTTTCCCAACCCTCTTCACGCATAACCTTCACCTTCTAACACCTCAACCCAATCTTTAACCAACCCAAAACTAAACAGAAATGAGAAACCAGAGAAAGACTTAGAAGGAGATGAAGAGAGATTTTGAACAAAATAAAAACTGAAACAAAAACCGAACCTGAAACTTGAAATCGAAACAAGACCAAACCTGAGACGAAATCGAGTGAGCATAGCGAGCGAGAAAGGTTGCGCACGAGATTTGCGAAGGTTGATTTTGAACGTTGTGAGTAGAGGTGGCAATTAAATCCATTAAGGCAAAATCCATCCAATCCATCCATCAAAAAATCCATCCAATCCATCCACCACACAAAAAATAAGTTAATGGATTGGATTAAATCCATCCTATGCATGGATGGATTCAATTCATCCAACATATTTTAAGGATCCAATGGATTATTTTTATTTTCGTTAGATTTTTTTTTTAAATTAGATTTTTTAAAAATAATTAAAAAACTATATTTTTTTCTGAAAAAAAAAGTTTAATTTTTTTGAAAAAAATCTGTTTTTTTTTTCAGAACAAAAAACTGATTTGTTTTTCGAAAAAAAAACCGACTTTTTTTTTGGAAAAAAAATCAGTTTTTTTTTTCAGAATAAAAAACTGATTTGTTTTTTGAAAAAACAATAAATTTTTTTCTCGAAAAAAAACCGACTTTTTTTTGGAAAAAAATCGGTTTTTTTTTTTAGAATAAAAAACTGATTTGTTTTTCGAAAAAAAATAAAATTTTTTCTCGAAAAAAAACCCGACTTTTTTTCTTGGAAAAAAAATCAATTTTTTTTCTGAAAAAAATCGGTTTTTTTTTCAGAATAAAAAACTGATTTGTTTTTTGAAAAAAAAAATTCGAAAAAAAAACCGACTTTTTTTTTTCTGAAAAATCGGTTTTTTTTTCAGAATAAAAAACTGATTTGTTTTTCGAAAAAAAATAAAATTTTTTCTCGAAAAAAAGCCGATTTTTTTTTTGGAAAAAAAATCGGTTTTTTTCAGAATAAAAAATCGATTTGTTTTTGAAAAAAAAAATATTTTTACGAAATTAAAAAAAAAGTTGGATGGATGGATATCCATCCATTAAAAATATGTTAATAGATGGATTGGATGGATTTTATTCTTAATGGATGGATCGGATTGGATAATTTTAATAAACTTTTAGTGGATTTTAATGGACTAATGGATTGTTTTAATCCATCCATTAGCAATCCAATCCATATTCATCCAATCCATCCATTTTGTCAGCCCTAGTTATGAATGCTTCGATCTTGTCACCTGTGTTCTATGTTATCATAACTTTGTTTTTGTTTTGAGCTTTTGAAAAGATCTGACTTTGCACTGCTTGTTTTTTTTATTATTCGGTTTATTTTTTGTTTCAAAGGTGAAAGTGTGTTACTGTTTAAACATATTAATCGTGCCTTGGTGTTTGAAACACTGTTTTAGGATCATGGGCCGTGGAATACATATGGTCCATTCCAATTTCTTGTCTCAGCACCCCCCCCCCCCTTTTTCCTTTGAAGCCAGACATGTATTTTGAAAAGATTAACGGGCTTTGGTTAAGCCCATGATGATTCCTACCATATATTCACACCCTCAAATTCAGCGTGCCCTCCTCATGTTTTCTTAATTTAATTTATTTACTATTTTATTTTCTTATCTTGTTTAATTATTTTTTGTAAGTTTTTAATTAATTCTACTTCCTCTTTTGTTTCCCATTTTTTGACTTTAGTTTTATTATTGGTCGATGAACATCTAAAGAGTCGTGGATTATCGATTCATCGATGAAAATCCATGATTAAGATTATACCATTTTCTTTTCTATCTCATTTTGATTTTGATTTTTCTTTTATTTTAGATTCCATTTTCTTTTCAATCTCGATTGGTGAAGTCTTTTTATTCATGAATGTTTGTTGATTGAGGTTGTTTAACCTTCATGATTTCAAATCTGTAGTGAATGATCATCGAGATCATTTTCTATACTTTTGGATCGTGATAGGTCACCTTTGATTAATCGACGAAAGTTTGTGATTTAGACGAGACCGTCACCTTTTCTTTTCGTGTGGCACGATTCCTTTGAGAATAATTCACAATATCATTTCTCCATCGTGTTTTAGCACAAATATTGCTTACATGAACTATTATAGTATGATCTTCATCATAAATCGTGCTACGACGGTTTAGCGCTAAAGTCGACCCGTCTTATCCGATTAATCACTAACCACTAACTTTAATTTCAGTCAATATACTCTTGCTTTAATTTTTGTCCAATATACTCTTGATTTACGTTTGCGTCAATATATCTCGATTATATCATTGTTCATATACTATTGTTAATATTAACTTGAATATATTATTATTGATATTATTCTTGATTATATTATTCATATTCATCATATCATATTCATCTTGTTCATACTTTGTTCATACTATTCAAAACACACTCATAACAATCGAAACCCTAAAAGGCTAAATTGGTGGATTGTGGTTATTTTTCCGAGCAACGGAACTTGGACTCTGTATATAGAAACTCTAGCATGGAGATTTTGTACGACTCTTGCTCGTGGCTTAGTTTAGGACACCTCGCACAGACACGAATTCCTCTTGGGATACCTTACAATGAACCTTTTTATTTTGTTCAATCCCGTGTAACTTGCATGTACCCCACTCCTATTTCGATGTACGCATTCATATTACTTTTATTGTGGTTTATTTACTAGGAGAACCCCTAGGGACTAGCATAGACTAAACCATTTTCAAACTAATTATCGATTCGTCATCGAGTCACTTTCAAACACCCATCGCATGTCGATTGCTCATTAGCACTCTCCATCAACCTAACCCACACACTTGCACATTTCGTTATGGTTTCATTATTAGGAGCACCCCTAGGGACTATTATTGATTCTCACCTCTTTCGCAAACCCTCGATCCAATGTCAAGTGATATTTTATCCAAACTTGTAAGTCGAGCGCCTTTTACCTCGTCGTCAATCTCTTTCTAACCAATCTGATTCTATCCTTTTCAAACTGTTTTCTTAATCAATTTATAAAAGAAGAATATTCTTTGAGTCTGACATTCCTTAGATCTTCGGATG